TTCAATACAAGATTTTTCATATGATTTTTTTTTTGTAGACAAAACAAGAAAAAAATTAATATTTATTGGGTAATGCTTTTGTAATTTTTTATAAATAGTTTGTTACAATTTATAATTTTTTTAATAATTTTGTAAATGTATTAATTTATTTTCTTAAGTACATGCAATTGATTTTTTTTCAGTTCATTTGAAATTTTACAGTATTTTTTTTTTTAATTTTTCAATTCCGTGTTGAGTAAATATGTTTTACATTCGATAAAGTTCGTAAGGCGTGTATATGTGTTTGAGTGAGTGGAAACCAATAATAAAACAAATTACTTTTTAAAATGTGTTATCTGTATAGCGAATTCATTAACTGTCTGAATAATTATTGACGGTACTAAAACAATTATTTTTATTTGAACAAACTAATAAAATTGTTACTATATAATGCTCGAATTAATATTAATAATCATTCTTATAATCTTCTTGAGTTCGTTGTCGAGATAATGGCCATTCATTTGTATTATTAAAATATCTTATGAAATAGTTCTTAGTAAGAAATTTAATAAGAAATTAAAGTATTATTTAATATTTTATATACAATATAACATTTGACAGTAAAATTGAAAAATTTATTTAAAAAAAAATGTATGTTAGGTATTGATATGATCTTAATTTGAACTCTGTAATGAATTTAATTTTGTCGATATGTTTTAACATTAAAATAAAATACGATAGAAATTATTTGATAATTCCTCACCAGTACCGAAAATGTGAAGCATTATCATACTATATATATATATTTATAAATCATAAACTTAAACGTACAATAAAAAGAGTTTTTCGTGTACTTATATGTATCTACTTTTAAGCTGATTAAATGAGATAAATCAAAGATAATCAATTGTCTTGTTATCGTGTGCCTCTATGAGTATTGCAATCTATAGATAGTGTATTATTCATATTTATAAAAAAATAATTCATGAACTTGTCGGCAGGGCCGGCCCAAGCAAAAATAGTGCACTGGGCAAAATAAAATTTTCCGCCTCTAAAAAAAAAAATTGAGCTTTTATCTTAACTTAGTTCCATTCCCTATTTTTTATGTGACATATCTACTTAAAAATTTTTTAAATTTTTAATTTTATAGATAAAATTATATGTAAAAATACTTAAAAATGATTTCTATTACTATTATTCAAAACCCATTACTACGGCGACTATCGGATATGTGGTTATTTATATTTTTTGAATAGGCAATTGAAAACGCCCAGTAATATAGGCCGTAATATAAAGTAATATTATAACTTTAGACAATATTATTTTAATATATAGGTAAGTGGTTTTCATGAATGAATTAATTTAAATATTTTTCTTATAAAACACCAATAAAATTAAAAAAATGTTCGGTTCAATTTTGAAAATGCTACCCCTACTAAAGTGCCGCTCTAGGTAGATGCCTAGCTCGCCTATACCTTGAGCCGGCCCTGCTTGTCGGTGATATAGAAATTGATTCGATGGAAACAGGTATCAGTTAGGTATACTTTTGGTGGAAACGTGTTACGCCCGATATTGTTGCCGATAAATGTTACCGAATGGTGATTTGCTTATTGTATGACAAAGTTAATTATTTTTAATTTTTAATCGTCCTGTTGTATATTTTTGATTCTGATATCACTTCTTAATTATTATATTTGGCATATGAAATCTTAATGTATGGTTGTTTTTACAACATTGCATTTACAAAATTGCTTTACCGATACGTTTTTGATTAGATAAATATTTACCTAATTTTCGTTTTTTAATTTCCCGTTCGTAATATTATTGAACGTTTGAAGACGCTACTAGTTAGAAGTTTACTTACTAGTTGGAAGTATAAGTTTTGCCTTGTAGGTTATAGTTCAAGTGGGTGGATATTTTGTTCTTCCGAATAAATGCCGAAATGTTACACAGAATCTATGATCTCGGAAAGTTCGAAAATATTACACTCGTAAATCAAAGTTCCTGCCGTGGAGTTTGCCGACTGATAAGTAGTAACTCTGGAATCCGCTACTAGTAGCGACACGTTCATAACACATAACACTACTATGTTTTTATACCATTTTAGTCGGCGATCGTATATGGTTGACGATGTGTCGTGCAGTGCTTGTGTGTGTTTTTTAAAATTGTCGATGAAACAATAAGTGAACATAAAGTGCGCCTCCTGTAAAAAAATATAATTGAAAAATCCGTACCGTATACCTACCGTTTGTGTACGCAATGATTCGATATTACTCACATGCGCGATGTGCTTGTATGTGATAAACTTACATTATAACATTATTTATTCGAAAACAGACGTGACCCGACCGTAGCATTAAAATGAATATTTTATTTTTCAACTCGTTACAAATTGATAGTTTTGTTTATTCTGCTATAGTAAGTAAAAACGAAAATTTACCTTTCTAAAGTAACAAGTGTTTGTGTTAAATTCATATTACCTATCGATAGGACTTTTGGAGAACCTGAAAATGCATTTTTTACCCGAAAAAAAAGTGGTGGCTTGAAAACGTGGTACAGCTAATACACTATGTTTTCCTAGAATCGCTTAAATACCAAAACACGAAAAATAATTATAAACATAGTACATTAAATGCAGACAAAACGTAGTGTAATTAATGAAACAAATTAATGTTGGGTATAAAAACGAATCGGTTAAAATGCTGTCATCCGTAATAAATTGTACACAAATTATTCAAATAGGTATTCATATGGTTTTTAATAAAGATATTAAAATAAAAAAACAATAATTATTTTTTAATATTTATGTGAATTTATTTAAATTTGAAAATATTTTTTACTTCCAAGTAGTGTTACCGTAAAGGCATCATAATTGATTTTTTCAAATTTGCAAATAAAATAAATAATATAATACAATTATTAAAATCGAAACATGTGCTTGGCATATGGGCAAATGTAAACTCCCCTAAAAAATTAAATAATAAATACCCCTAATAGTAAACTCCCCTAAAAACATTTTGCTACAGTATTACATTAACGTAAACTCCCCTAAAAACATTTTGTTACCGTATTACACTTACGTAAATTCCCCTAAAAAAATTAGAACTATTTAGCGTAACCCAGAGGACACCACGTAGAGGCGGTTCTAGTTATCCTCCAAAAATATTTGTATTTTTAACGGCATATATATTTCTTTATTCATATTTTATAATTAGAAAAGTTAATTTTCATCTTTATACTATTAAAATTATTAAAGTTGATATTATGATGATTATTTTTTGATGGAGTAATAATGTGAAACGGTTTTTATATAATGAAATGTAGTCATTTTTTGTTCTTTATAATTTTCTATTAGCTAGTTTAATAATTGTTGACATATTTTTAACTTATTATTATTGCAACTATTTGGTTTGTGTATGCTTTGTAATTTTATGTAAATTTCTAATTGAATATTTTTTAGTGTATCAATAAACCTATGGTTAATGGCTATGGTTAAAATTTGATTTAAAATGAGCATGAAATGATTCACAAGCATTTGTGGATTTTGTTAATTCGGAAGATGCTTCTGCCCAAAATGTAGGTAGAAAAATTGCTATATTGCCTCAAATATGGACTAACATAGTTTTTGTACTGACATCTTCAATTATCAATCATCAAGAAGTACAAAATTTAATTCAATACCAGTAATTCATAGCCAAAATAAAATCAATAAAAAGTATAAGGGACGTGAAATGTTTACTCATAATGGCTATTTGTATGATATTTTTCTAATTATAAAATATGAATAAAGAAAAATATATGCAATTAAAAATACGAATATTTTTGGAGGATAACTAGAACCGCCTCTATGTGGTGTCTTCTGGGTTACTCTAAATGGTTCTAATTTTATTAGGGGAATTTACGTTAGTGTAATACGGAAGCAAAATGTTTTTAGGGGAATTTACATGTGCCTCGGCATATCCACGCTATTAGTGTGCTAAAAAAATATGTTTCCCTGAAATCTCGTGGAGATGGGATGATTTATCCCCTCAGCTAGACTCGTTGCATAAACCACTATTGTATAGGCGTGACGAAATTTTTAATTTTGTGGATAATGAAACGGTCCTTCCATATGAATTCTGAATTCGTGCTTCGTTATAAATACTAACTAATAAACGATATACTAATTATTTACGCGATTTGGCGGTTAATTTTGGACGGCCAACCTCGCGAACACCGTAAACTTATGTGTACTACGAAAAACGCGCTAATCCGCGCCAACGCGGTGCTACAAATACTGCGATAAATTCTCATAATCAGTAAGAACCAAACGTTACGAAATACATAAATACGAATCGAGTAATCGTAATTCCTTTAAACTTCGTTGAACGTTCACTGGATAATAAGTGTTTTGTGTATACCTACGTATTGTAACTTTGTTCGCTAAGGGCCACTATTAACGTCCCCCACCACTGGCTCTAGGGGCTTTGGGCTTAGTAACGTTTATTGCGCACGATATCGGTTGCTACTGGTATAACACGCAATAAGCATAACATACACGTTAATGGGAAACGTACGTAATGACACGCGCACACATGGCGTGCACAGAAACGGCGGCACACTCGTTATTACCTAAGCCCATTATAACCGATCGGTTACAAGAACGGTATCCAGTCGTTGCGTCGCTCTTGCGCACGTGACGTTCACATAAAATACGAACGCGAACTACGGTAAACAAATAAAGTGCGGTTTATTCCGTGTCGGAAATACGTCGCCGCCGTCATTGCTCAAGTGACGAGGCGCAACACGGCGAGTTTTTCGTTTCTTCGGGTTTTCGCCCCGTCAGATTTGCGATTTGTCGTACGGAGCCCGTCGACAAAGCGTTTGCATCCGCGATTGCGATCGTCTGCAGACGACTTACGTGACGATCTACCTTTACCACCGGGAAAATCGATTTGAATCGATCGTGGAAATGTTTTTTTTTTTCTTTTCCGAAACGTTTAGCGTTTCAAAGTAACATATGTTTATCGAAAAAAAAAAAAAAAGAAATCCATTTCTACGAGATACATTTTTTCATAATAATAAACATGTTTTTGTGACTCCGACGGAAAAGTGAGGAACACTCGAGCGCCGCCGCCCGCCGCGTTTTGTTGTTATCCGCGAAACGTTCGCGTTCACGACGGTGACACACGCACGCGTGTCGACCACCCGCCGAACTATCGCGCGCACGCGCACGAGCTTTCGCCCCTCACACGGATTGCGCTTCGCTTATCAGTGCGCTGTGTATTACGTGAATACGTCGAGCCAGTATTTCGCGGATCCGTTGCTGTCCGGACGACAAATTTTTCTCATTTTTTTGTTTTTTTTTTTTTGTTAATTTTTTTCCGTTTTCTACTCCTCTCTAGAATTCCGTCACGCTACTCGTACCCGCACGCCAACGTCCGTCACAAGGGAATAAAGTTTCTTGTTAGTGCCTCTCCTCCCTCTCAAAAACCGTTCGAAGTTCTATGTTATTCGTTTCCGACGAACGTTTGCGCGCCTCCGTAGTCGTTTCCCGAACCGTCCGATTCATTAGCCACCGCGTTTGTCGTCCGACTACTGATATAGTAGTTGCCCGACATCAACCCCGAATCCGCTCGCACGGGTTCCGTAAACCCGTGACACCATTGACCGGTCATGCGCCCAGCTCTAGTTGTAGCTGCCGAAACCATGCCTGTTGCGCGGTGGACAATTTAAATGGGAAATCATGCAAACGCCAGGTAAATACGGTTGTCCGCTGTGCGCGTTGCACTGATCATTTCGCAATGGTTTGCTTTTCGGTTAGTTGCTTAACCTATGTGGCCAGATGTTTGTATCCTTGTATTGTTTCTGTTGCTGTGCACAGGATTTCTCTACGACATGTCTACATTTAATCGTGTTCAAATAATTTTACTTAGTTTTACCAAGGACTTTAATACTGCGTATGTCCAAAACTTACACAATGATTTGCACTGAAAAAATGTTTAATCTAATATTATCTTTCAAATGATTTATTTCCATGGTTTAACATATTTATTTTCTTGGTGGACATATTGGATAAAGGATTAAACAATATATTTAATTTAGGCACGTTTCGTTATGTACTTATATCATGGTTTTCTACGTTATTCAGCTTTATTGTTAAATTATATATATTTGTTCTACAAATCAATACATTTCTATAGGTTGCATGGCTGAAAAAATATAGAACAATAATACAATTATTTTTCATATATTATTATTTAAAAATATATGGTATCCTAATAATAGTAACGAATATCTAGAATTGAGTAATGAGTTACATAAATTATTTAAAATGCAATATTTAATTTAAATTATATTTACAATAATTTTCATGTTGATAATATTATTAACCCATGGGTTATTTCTTTAATTTTAAAGTAAATACACTTGTTAATTAATTATTATTAACATTTTTTAATGTGCATTTAGGTATATTAATTTGTTTTGTAAGCAGATATTATTTAAATATATACTTTATGTATGATTTATATCATAATTTTACTGTATGCAATAAGCTTATAAATATAAAAACTAATTGCATTTATTTGATACTATTATATACCTATAACATATATTTATATTTCTAAGAGATAAATATTTCAAATTTAATTCATTCATCATTAAATTGATTTATTACATAAGTGAATTAATAAAAATATTTGTACATTGTACAAATGTTTAAATTATTAAATACCATAACCACACATTGATAAAATACATAAATAACTTGTAAATTTTTTCTATAATTTATTGTTTTCTTTAAGAAATGATGTTTTGTTTTCACTCTTCAAGATGCTGTACATTTCTCTCTATTAGTTATTAACAAACTATAGTTATAAAATAATTATATTTATAGTTTGCTTGAGGCCAGTACCACGTCTATCATAATTAGCGCCCAGTGCCAAAAATAAATTTTAGCGCCCTGACCCCTCTACAAAATATTTTTGAACCATATAATTATAGTTAAGCTTAAACTATAAGCAGACTACTTAAGAATAGAGGGTTTTATACAGCTACTTATTTTGTATTTATTAAATTAATAAAACAAATAATCAACGACTAAAGAACAATATAAGTAATATAACTAAGTAATATAACTGATAATTTGACGCCATGTTTTCTCACCCTGGTCCACCAAATTGAACAGTTACCCTCACATTTTTGCTTCTAGATTTAAATCTATAGTTCCCATTATACCAGAAAAATTATGATTCAACAATCTTACTTTATCAAAATCCCTAATGAAATTTAACCGATTACGCATTGGCCATCATCTCTTACCTTCTTGCTTGCAAATTAAATCTTAATAATTCCCTTCCAGTGGTGAAATAATCAGGAGTATTAGGTGAAATATTCACAGGCACCCCCAGTTTTGGAGGGCTCCGAGATATTTTCTGATATTATCTTTTTCCTTTACAATATTCCTATTATAATCTATAATATACACATATTATATTATTTGTATTAATATAATAACAATAAATAATAATATAAGTCTGGACATTTTTACATGGGCCCCTTATCATTAAGTTCCACCCTTTTTTGCACACTCCATTTAGAAAAAAAAAAATTGTATTTTATCTTATATTCTCTTTGATTGTCCTTCCTTACCTACCAAACGCAATATCCCTATTAGTTTCTCAATTACCCATTCAATACTTTCAACATTCTAAATTTCAAAATCTGCTCTCATTCTAATTATTTTCTTCATTCATGGGGTTGGTTTCTGTATTTAATCTTTTATTATTTTAATATTTTTATGTCATATAGGTATTTTATTTATTGTATTTTAATTAATTAATCAATGTATATTATTGTAATTGTTGAGCTTAATAGTATTTCTAAATGCTCTATAAATATAAAAATAAATTTATAGGTAGAACAAAACATGTAGATAATAACTTATCATTCTAAACCAGTATAATTTATGTACAAATTAAATTTATTCGATTGCACAAAAAATAATTTACGTTTTTAAATAATTTCCTAAGAAAAATAATTGGGTACCTTTACAACTTCTGCGTTCATGAACTATGATGTGAAAACTATCTATCATAGATGGGTTCAAAATAAAATTGTACAACTCAATCAAGTCAATATTCCTTTATGTTATTAAATTAATTATATCAAGTAACAATAATAATAAAATATTAATGGTGTATTATTGTTAATTTGTCATCTCACCAATTTTGGGGCAAAAACAAATACCAATACTAAAAATGAACTAGCAACACCGCAGATCAAGACAATGTTAATGATGTCGACTACGCGTCGATACCATGATGTTAAATGTGTTAAATATTTTGAGTTAAATAATATAATTAACTTTTAGTATTATTACTTAGATTATGAAAAAGCTTTTGGCGCCCGGTGTACACGCACCTCTCCCACCCCCCTAGACATGGCCTTGCCAGAGTTCTAAATTATAATGCTAATAATTATAAACTATAATTTATTTGTGATTATTACCAACTGGAATTATATGTGTTTAAAATGTGTTAAATGTGATGGATTAATATAGTTTAAAAATGCCAAAATATGTAAACTATAATATGTAAGTGTAAATAAGTACACTTCTTACATTAAAACATTTGTTTCAAATTTAAAAGTGATTCAAATAGTTAGTGATATTATTTTCTTATATTCAACACAAAATTTATTTTTAGTTTTTTTTTATTCCTACATTTATTTTGTATAAAACATTTTATTAAATTTAACTTATTTTAAATCAAATTACAATCTTATTAATTGTAAACATTAAATTCCAATCAACAGATATATATTATAATATAATCAATATAAATATAGATCTTATAAAATATTAAAAATAGCAAATTTTAAAATTAAGAAATGTAAATTCATATATTTATCTAAGGTAAGACTCTTGTGATATTGCAATTAAAAAAAAGTTACACCTCTATTAAATATAAAATATAAAATATGCTGTTTGAATAGAATTACGATAGTAAGTTCTTATATTTATTACCATAAAATAAAATATGTAAACGTAGATCAAATATTTCTAATCATCATTATATTATAATCTACAAATTGTAGACTCCTTACAAGTGTTAAATTGGTCCCCAGTATTCATTATATGAATTTTATTTTAAAAACCTAGTACAAAATAATATATTCCATTAATATTAATCAATATTTTGTGGGACTCATTGCACATACAATGTGCTAGTAACAACTTCACACAGTTGGTTTATTTATATTATTATTATTACCTTAAATTTAATAGGTTGCAATACTACATAGCTGTACAGATTTTAAAATAATGTTTGTGAGTACCCAAATTGGTTCCTTAATTTTTCTTTTATACTTAATTTATTAGTTTTATTGCTCATTCATTTAATATGTAATTAATAATTAATAATTAATTAATTTATGATTATTATTTATTTAAAATAAATATTTATATTTAAAGGCTTACCTACAACATCATTAATATTATAAGGAAGTTTTATACTAAATAAAATTTAAGAAATTTAGATTAAAAATTTGATTTTTCTTCCTAAATTTAACTATCTATCAAAAAATATGTATCATAAAATAAACTCTAATTAATATTTACTGTAGATAAAACATTTTTTATTCGGTATGATTAAATGTTGTGTATACAAAATTAATCTTATAAGCTTTTGGTTTTAACATATGCTTAACATAATTTATTATATTTTTGTTTAGAGAAAATAAAGCCACCTCCACTGCCAAAGCCAAAATTGTTTCTTTCAAATTCAAATGATTGCAATTGTGACGCACCACAAAAGTATGCTTTTAATAAATTATTAACTGATTAAAATTATCTATTTCACGTTTTTACTATAAATATTTATGTATGCTCATTTTTTTGGCAAAATGGAAAAAAATTGATTTTGTTGTTATTATTTTAAGCTCTTTTTCTCTTTACTTCTATACAACATCTAAATTTTTATAATAATAATTCATCAATGTTTATACTTTTTTTATAAAGTAATATAACTGTGTTTTCATGATAGGTATTGGTTAAAATAATTTATATTAGTGATTGAATTAAAAAATTTTGTTTTATTGTTTGTTTGTACCTATTATGTATTAAGGGTTAAAAATTAAAAATGTTGGAATTGCTTCTTGGTATAGCTTTTATTTTGCTTTTATTTATTCTAAAGAAACCTAAAATTGTTTTTTTAGTCTTAATTTATAAAATTATTTTATTTCAATAGAAAGTTGATAATATTTTAAAATATATAACCACAATATATATTTTATTTATGTTTGCTACAAATTAGTATTAAATTTATAAAATTATTAAAAGAAAAAATATTAAATTCCAAATTTGATTGAAAATATTAAAGATTTTTGATCATTAAATAATCTTTCTATTTTCTCTTAAATATTTCTTTTAATTTAAAGTTATTACATTGTAATAATAAAATTATATTTTTCATTATATATATATATATATATATATGTATAAATAATAAATTATTAGAAATTTTAATATTAATTTATAATTAAAAATTAACTAATGTTATGCCATTAAATTTTGAAAGTCTATGTTTTTATATAAATGTTCTTCTTCACATTATGATTTAATATATGTATATAATTATTTAGAGAGTACTTTTAGTACTATGACTAACAAAAAAATATTTATTTAAAATGTCATTAAATTTTTACTTCAAATTAACCAACTAAAATATTGGTAGTTAAAAACAATTTGCCTTTTAATGTGTCAAGTCAAAAATATTTAAACAAATAACAAAATTAATTTAATGTTTAATGTATTGTTTTTTAAGGACAAAAAATATAATGGTCACCAAAAACGATAAAGATAAGGTTTCTGTTTATAAATGTCATTTGGATTCAACAGCTACAAGGTACAGAGTTAAACCTCCATTACTTCCAAAACCAAATATCACTGCGTTGAAAACCAGTCCATACAAAGTCAAACATCAATTTCCGAGTGTAGAATCTTCATCTAATATAAAAGTTGAAAAGACTGTTAATTCTGCCATAAATCAAACTTCAAATGTTGAGCTTAATGAAATTGACTATAATAAAACATATGAAGAATTAAAAAATGATAGTGATGTCAATTCAAATATTTCCCAAATAGAAGTTCCTGTTAATGTAAATAGTATTATAGAAAGAAATATAATTTATAGTGAGAACAACAATAACAGTATTAACAATAAATGTTCTGACAATGCTTTAAATTTTGAGTATCAGGATGAAAATTTATTAAGTGAATATGTAGTCTTTGATGGTGATTTAGATTTGTCAATTGGTCAGTTAAATGATATGAACTCAACACTCGAAGATGAAAAATTATCCATTACTAGTGATTCAACAGATCAATCATTTTCTGTTCGAAAAAAAATTGTTACCTGGTTCGGTTCATTTGGCAAAGGAAAACACTTAAAACTGAAAAAACGTAGTTCTTTGTATGATAATCAGAATGATGATGGAACTACGGATAAAGAGGATAATGATGCCGATTCTCATTCATCACTAGATGACAAACCAAATGAAAAGGTTGAACTTGATGAAACATTGTCTATTGATAATATTGAAACATTTGAAACTGAAGAAATACCAACCAAAGCCAAGTCCTTGAGAATTGTTGAGGAACTTATATCGACTGAAAAAGTATTCATTGATGTTTTAAGATTACTATGTAACACATTTGTTGCTTTTGTTGAACAAACTGGTGGTGATGTTAAAGTAATACCATCAACTGATTTATTAAAAATAATCAGTCCTCTTCCTCAGTTATTAAGTCTTAATGAAGACCTATTGCAAGATATGGAGAAACGAATGGAGAATTGGAATGAACATCCTAAAATTGCTGATGTTATAGTGAAAAAAGGACCTTTTCTTAAACTTTACTCTACCTATATACAAAATTTTGAGGGGCAATGTAATTTGTTGGATGAATGTTGTCAAAAATATCCACGATTTCAGAAATGTGTCAAAGACTTTGAAGCCTCTGATGTTTGCAAAAAACTTACAATTAAACATTATATGTTAAAACCTATCCAACGAATACCTCAGTATAGACTCTTGTTAGAAAGCTATTTAAAAAATCAAGATGAAGACTCAATTGATTACAATGATACAACGGTAGCTTTGAAAATTGTTTGTGATGTTGCTAACCATGCTAATAAAAGTATCAAACAAGGAGTAAGTAAAGTATATTTGAGTTTCATATAAATATTATAATACTATGTATTTTTTGAATTTCAGGATTGTGTGAGTAAACTTTTGCAGATACAATCTCAATTAGGAAATTACGTGGTACTAAAACCCGGTAGAGAACTTATTAAAGATGGTGAACTTTATAAGCTATCCAGAAAAGACATGCAACTTCGATATTTTATTTTGGTAAACTTATAAATAAAAAAATTTGTACCAATTATAATATTTATATTCTAATTAATTATATTTTAGCTCAATGATTGTTTATTATATACTTCATATTCTGGTACAGTTGCTGGATTAAAAATAAATTATGAACTTCCACTTAGTGGTATGAAAGTATTTCTACCTATGGCTGATGATTGTGGTTGTGAATTTAGTATAATTTCAATTACCAGAAGTTTCACTCTTAAGGCTAAGTAAGTTTTTTTAATATTTAATATTGCTGAACAATTTTCTATTAAATTAAAATGTGTTTGGTAATGTGTTGCAGATCATCTGTTGAACGTGAGGAATGGGTTACAACTCTAGAAAAAGCAATTAGTGAGCATAACAATAGACAGCTATCATTTTTGAACATGAAATTTATTCCAAAAAATGTTGGTTGTGAACCACTTCAGTTGGGATACGAGGTTAGACTAATTACATTTATTTAAAAAATAATTTTGTGAACCAAAATCAGTTTTTAAATATAATTTAATTTTTATGTTAGAATATATTATACAATATCTTTCATGGACACTTGAAGATTTTTGTAATATTGACAGTTAATCTTAGATAGGTTCTAATATACATTATATTAACAAATATTAATTTTTTTAAGGCTCCAATATGGATTCAAGACTGTCGTGTGACTATGTGCCAAACGTGTGCAGCAGAATTTACTGTCACGTTTCGAAGACATCACTGTAGAGCATGTGGAAAAGTATAATGTTATTTATTAAAATGATTTGAAAACATAACTCATGTTAATAATTTTATCGAGTAGGTAGTGTGTGGCAATTGTTCTGAAAATAAAGCACCCCTTCGTTATATGAAGTTTCAGGCTGCTCGTGTGTGTGACGATTGTTATGATTATTTACTAAAAGGTGTGTCAATATGCTGGTTATTGATTACTAATGTTCAATGAACTATAATTAATTAATTTTGTATTTCATGTTTAAAGAATTTGAAGATAAAATGATAGAAATGCGACAAGAATCCAGTATAACAGACTTTGAAATTATTAAAATGGTAGATACAATAAAAAATTCTTTTAAAAAGTCTGGAGTATGGAGTTCAAAAAAACTCGTGAAATATGTTCCACAGCGGTTAAAAGAGGTAATAATTTATGTTATCTGCCTGTTTTATTACTGAATTGTACAATTGTTAGTCAATTTAATTGTTAAAATTTAAATAATTAATTTATAAAAACAAAATCAATAGGTGATGGCCAACGATTCTGGTTCACAAATGAGTGGTTGGTTATTTCGACGCGAAAAACGTAAATCATGGAAAAGATTTTGGTTTGTTTTAAAAGAACAAGTATTATATGCATACAAAGCTTCTGAAGATGTTGTAGCATTAAACACTATACCAGTTCTTGGTTATAGTATTCAAACATTTCCAGAAGTAAGTATTTTATTAAGTGATCTAATTTTAATCTCAATAAAAAATTTGATAATTCAAATATTCTAAAAAAGTTTTAAATCATAATAATTGTAATTTTCTTATTCTATATAAATATAAATAAAACATTGTTGGATGAATAAGTAAATATTTGCACAGATTTACTACCATTAAGTCTGATTGTTAAAAAAAAAATTACTAACAAATACAGTAAAATCTCTCTCATTCGCCCTCGGCTAGTCCACCACTCCAGTTGATCCGATCATAGTAATATCGATGTAAATATGAATTTTTCAATTTATAATATGTGGCTAGATATATTTATAAAATTAATTGTTCGTTTACTATTTATCTATTTCTTATTTATTTTATTATTTAATTGTTTATTTAATTTAATATATCTATGAAATTAAAAATAATATTTAAATTAATTAAATAAATAAATTGGTAACATTTTATCTTCAAATGTTTCTTTATATTCTGATAATCCGATCTTTTTCACTTTCCGACCACACTCCCAGTTCCGAAGCTGACGGATTAGAAGGGTTCTACTGTACATTATTTTCTTCATTCAGAATAAAACTATTCAATTTTCAATGAAAAGAGAGATATTGGTGCTTTATAACATAATTTAATAGGTCATTGAAAATGTATTAAATATGGTATAGAAAAGATAAGGTGCGAAAACAAAGTCGTTATATTTCATAATTATTATTTTATAATGACATCCTAGTTGTCTTATGTTAACAGCTTATTTTATCTATTAGAGTAAATAAACCGAAACTATATAATGAGGTCATTTAGTCACATTATTAATCCATCACTTATCTATATTTCTTTATTGTATTTGTATTATTTAAATCTGTTTACGTAGTTTTCATAATTATTTTTCTATTATAATTTGTAGCTAAGTATTAGAGTTTTATAAATATGTGTTAAAAAAATAAATATTAAGATTAGTAAATTTATATTATAAATCATTATCAATTAAAAAATATTTTGGTCATAGTTAAATTTAATGCATAACCTTTAAATAGTTATGTAATAAATTACAACAATTATATTAGAAATAATAGCATTGTAGTAGTAGTAGCATATTAGTAGATAAATTAAATTTATTCTGATACATAATTTTGAAAAAAATGTATTATTAGATGATTTACTTAAACGTTAATGGAGAATGTATTATATAGGATGTAAGTATCTTATCTTCAATATAAAATGCTTTGTTTATTAATAAATTACTTCAAAAACTAAAACTCTAATGTATACATAACAATAAGTACTCATATAAATAAGTTTTTGCGAAATAATTCAATTTCTTCAGATAAAAAATAAATAACTAGAGTGTAAAAACGATTTCATTAATAAATCTAAAAAAACAAATGAGTCTTGATTGGCTCTAAAAAATTAAGTAAAATGTTTGGAATACTTTGTCTGGTTCAATGTCTTCATTATCAACTAAATGATTAAATAGATTTTTAATTTCCCTTCTCTACTATCGTTTTTATTTGTAATTGTCTAATAGGAATCATAAAACTAAATAAAAAATGATTACAATAGGCGGCACTTGGAGGGGTGGGGTCATAAGAAGGCAGTTGCCCCCAAACATTTTTTGGTGTGCCAAATGTATACTTTTGCTCCTTCCAGAAAAAACTTAACGAAAAAACTTATTGAATTTAATTGAATTCAATCTTATTGATGAACGCCGAAAAGTTGAATTTAATTTAAAATAATTAATGATATTCCCTCTGTAATTTTAATTTCTGATGTAAAACAAGAAAATAGTTTTTGGAATTTCAAATTAAATTTGAATCTGAGAATATTAGAATTATACTCATGTTAATTGAATAATCGAATATTGATAAATTGATAATAATTGTTATCAAAATTAATTCATCTAGAAAACATGGTTAGTAATTTCTTAACTAGCACTATCTACGACGCCAGTCATCGATTATAGGATATCGGTTAAATAGTAAACATACATAAATAAACGCGGTAAACGTTAGTATTAGTTTGAAATATCTCCTAATATTTTAGGTTATATTTTAAAATAATTATACTTTATTTTAGTAAGTTAAGTCTAAAAGACTTATTTACCGAAGTCAAAATTGGTAAAAATGCACTAAAAAAAAAAAATTAAATCAAGGTTCAAATTTTATTTTGGGAGAATTGGGTTATGAAAATCCATTTTTGTGGGTTATGGAAATTCATTTTTTGCCCTCCCTAGAATTATCCCCAAGTGTTGCCTATGAATGATTACTATAGTTCTTATTTGTGTTTATAAAAAAGTGCTTTTTTTAATTTTTTTTCTTTTTTCTTAATTAATTCATGTTAACTACATTCATGTTAATTCATGTTAAGTACACAATAACACTAAGATTTTCAATATTTAATTAACACATAGTTAAAAATTATTATTAACGAATGTATTACTAATTTTATTTATATTATTAAAGATGAATAAAACCATATCTATGGTATGTGTAAAAATAATGATTATTAAATTTTTTTAGGGTACGAATTACGAAGAATTTGATTCAAATTGTATTTTTCAACTAGCTCATGCCGGACAAAACCCTATGATATTTTGCGCTGATGCCGAACAGTTAGCTAATAGGTTTGCATTTAACTAATAATTTATACATTTATTAAGTAGTAAGTCTATTGTACAATTATTAGATGGTCATATAAATAATGGTTAAATATTTTTAAATGATGCTTTATGAAATATTATTAAACACAATTTTCTCACTATGTTGTGTTGCATTAGTCATATTTATAACTATAATTGACATTAATATAATAAAATAATACATTTTTTTTCTAAAAATATGATATATAGTTCTATAGTTTTTTATGTATTTAATGTGATAATGCATATAATTATTAGTTTTTTTAGTTATTTAAAAATAATATTCTATTATAAATATGTAAGTCAATATGTATATTATTGCATATTTACTTTCTGCTTATGATAATTAATAAAACACATTATTTATAAAAGTTAAAATTAAATTGATTAAAACAGTTTTAAACTTTGATAATAATTACTTCCTTCAAGAAGTGAAAAGAAGCTGGAATAATGTAGAATATTAAACTTAAAATTTAATGATTCTGAAGTATGGAATTCAATGATAATATTATTTATTGATCATTTAACATTAGTATTTGATAATATATAATTTTATATGTCTAACTAGGTATATCTTGTATTTGCAGATGGATTGTCGCTCTTAACGAAGCAACACAATTAAAATAAGATCTCTTTCAATATTTACATATTTATCATTAATTGACATCTGAGATAATGTTTTATTTTATGCATGTATATATATTATAGCTATTAGATATGTGCCGATGTTAAAATTTGAATATTTTATGGTGCTATTTTATTGTTATAACTATTTAGGTAGTTATCTAAGTATAAATGAAAATTGTTTTATTTTTAATATTATTTTATCATGCATATTTATACTACATATATACATAATTGATCAGTGCCTTGGATATTTTTAAGTGCACTTAAATGTGTGTGTGAATGTGTGTTTGTGTGTGAGTGTGTTTTTGTGAATTTTTTTAAATCATATCATTGAATTACACATTGTATTACGACCAAAGTTTATATTACATTAACATTTTATTAGTATCAATTTATATGCAATAAATTATGTGTTTCAATTATTTTAAACAAAAAATTTATATTATTGTTAGTTTTTCTATTATTATATTTTTATGTATACAAATGGTTATTATTTGTTATATTTTTGCACTTTATAAAAACGAAAATTGTTTTTAGTGATTAAATAATGTTTATGAAAAATTACTGTAGTTCATAATTCAACTATCCTATACAATTTTTTCAACGAAGCTGTTATATTGATTAATATTTAAAGAAAATGTGTACATTATAAAACCTTTTAGTTTGAAGATTACTAAGTATATTTTTATTTAGTATATTAAGTATATATTTATATTTATTCAAGTTATTTTTATTTTTAATTAATCTTCAGAATTATTTGTTTAATTATAGCATTTTATGGTATTATGAAACATATTTTTTTTTGAATTTTTCAATAATTATTTAAGTAGTTTTCTTTTTAACTAGCTTATATTTAATGTATTATATATTTGTTGAAAATTTTTTATTGAAGTCAAAATTTAAAAAGATTGTTATACCACTTATTGTATGAAGAAAGTTTAAATGTGTTGATGGTAATTAATGTTTAGGAAATATTACAATTTATTAATTTAAAAATGTAAATTTATGGTATAGAATATGCATTAATAATTTTTAATTCATTATTCTGAAATATTATTTTCTAATAATTTAAACCTTCAGACCTATATTAATCAATATATGAATCAACATAAATGTATTTTAGAATTATAATTTTTCTTCAATTGTTTCCTTTTAAAAAAAAAATGTAAGAACTATTTCATTACATTATGCCTTAATTAAAATAACTGATAATAAAATGTACTAACATGTACGTAATAATATAATCAGTAGATAGTTAACAGTGTGAATATGCTAGAAGCAAGGGAATTTTTCAAAACTTATGCTTAATTATTAGGGTTCCAAATATTGAATTCAATATAATTTTTTTGGAAACCATTTAGATTTAGTACTGTAAAATGGCTCAAGAGGATTTACTAAAATTGCGAAATATTTTAATAATAGTGACTCAAATCGGTAATATACAATTGCGTACGATTGTCCCTTTTAGTAAAATGATTGCGTAAAATTTTTCTATCTAGGCCTTAAAAACATTACGATTGCGTACGAAAATGAGTGCAACGTTGCCAACATGTACTATTAAATTAAATTAAAAATAATAATCTAATTTAAAAAAATCATTATTATAATATTATAGTCAATTAAAAACAATATAAGATATTTAGGTATTAAAAGTACAATAAAAATACACATTATAAGTTATAAATTAAAACTTTGGTATTGATAATCAGTCCCTGATAAAAAATTTAATACATTACCCTCTATTTAATTTTAATTAAATTTTACATAATTAATTACATAGTTAATTTTTTACATATATTTAAATGGAATAGCTTTTGATATATTTTTTTGTATAGTGTATATTTTTATATTGATTTCAGCCTGAATTTCTTTCAATGCCTGAAGCACAAAGTATATTGGTAGATGTGCATTATATAATTGAGAGTTAAAAGTTCTGTGGAAACTCTCTGGACCATATGTTGTTCTGACATTAAAATACGTAAAAATTACGGAATTAATAATAATCTAAATATTTTATGACACTTAATTTTTATGTATCAGAACATTAACTTTTAAGTTATATTGTACAAGAATACTTCCAAATTTTTCTTATAATTTATAAAACTATGATACCTTTTATTTATTGAAGGTTCTTCAGTCCATATATTAGGAAATATATATTTTTGGAAATATTTGGAAATATACAATTTGGTTGTATTTAATTATTATAAAAAATTTATAAATTATATTGTTTATAAAAATTGTATAAAATATAAGCAATAATTTTCTAAAATAAGTTATATTACAAATTTTCACGATTTTGAACAACGGCAACATTGCACTAAGTATTAGTTGGTAGAATGTACGCAATCGTAACGCACCCATTCAAATGCTGTAAATTTTTATGTTTCTAGTAATTTAGTAATGTTTTTTTTTATCGCTGTGTAAGCCATTAAGACCTTTTTCACGATTCAACAATTCAGTAATATAAAAATGATTATTTATTTGCGATTGATGGAGTGATAAAAAAAAAAAAAAATAAAGAAAAACCTATTTCTCTACTTCTTATTGATTCCTCGTGAGACTTGAATACTAAAGAACACATATTATTATCAAAATGGTATACTTAATTTTTACGACATTCGACACTGATAAAAAGTTATACTCAATAGACTACGTTTATATTGTAAAAGTGCAAGTACAGTTTAATATTGTTTTATGCTCCTGTACAATTTAAAACTAGCAACTTGGTAGTTCACGACGTTCAATGTACTATAATATATATAAATACATTTACATATATACATATATACGTAGAGTATAAAGTAAATAATTATCGGTGTATTCAGGGGATGAAAATCGTTCTCCATTTCCCTGGTCGAAAAACACACTTGGAAAATAATCGTAACACATCAATATTACATATAAATACATCGACGAAGAGTATAATTTGACGAGAAGGATTATTAGGCGTTAAGGACCGAGAGCGATAGGTTTTATTACGTTCGGCAGCGGACTCGGTGTCGTACTTAAAACAAAAAAAAAATAAATAAATAAATAAATAAAAAAGGAAACCGTTCAACGATCGTACCAACGATATTATATATGTATATATCTATATGTATGTATAAATATTAAACGATTTTGCGTCGGAAGACGACACGGACGGTGCCGGCACGAGCGTCGCGTTGCCTACCCAGTGCGTGTGATCGGCGTCGGGATTTAATGCGGTGTCGCGCGATTTTTCGATCCGTGCGGATACCGGTGCGCGACGGTAGGACAGCGGAGTCCGTGTCAGTGCAAGCCCCTGTACAACGGGTGCCCGGACTCGAAGTACAACATGGCCACGTCGCCGATCCGGTTGGGCACGAAGTGTATGAACACGAAGTGGTTGAACTCCTGGCACGTGACCTTGAACACGCACACGCACGTGGGCGCGGTCATCCGTTTCCGCGTGCAGTAGTAGTCCTTCAACGTGACCGTGGTCGGCGACACGCGCAGTATGTGCTCGCTCTGCTTGTTGCACACCTTCGAGCACATCCTCAGGCCCCTCTTCGAGAACTGGATCCGTTCGACTTGGGAGCCGCGCGCCACCAGGCAGCCCTCGCACACGATCCTGGCGATGCTGCGGTTGAAGCTTTTGCCTGCGGTCAGGGACGACGAACAACACATTTGAAAAATTAACCGTAACCCCTTGGAAAGAAATCGGAAAAAAAAACGATAACGATAACGACCGTACGCGGTATCGTTAATGACGTATGTTCGTCATCATCAGACCGGGTGGACGAGATTACACCAGTGGCGTAGATACAATTTTTTTCTGGGGGGGAGAGGGTGTTTAATAGCCAATTCATAATATCCTTAGTATATCTTAATAAAAGGTCCTATATAATAATATATTACATTTAAAACGGTATTATCATTATGTCCCGTATTTAATGAAAATTAATTTTTTACATTTTTAATAAAAACCTTATCATAGTAAAATTATATATTCATTTCACTATATGTAAATATTAATGATAATAATTAAATATCATTAAAAAAATAATCTGGGATGGGTGGAAACCCCTAACACCTCCTCTCCCCTCGTAACTACGCCACTGGATTACACGATTACCTAATTATCGTTATTAATTATGTGTAGCTATATTTTTCCGGTTTCAAACGGTTTTCGTAACTCTCAGTCGTTAGATGCGCAATCGAATGACATTATTCGATTTGGATTTCAACGCTCGAAAAGCGTTCGAGCAAAAATTAATTTAAAACTCAAAAATGGTCTTCTTTCAAAATAATTTTGTTTTTCAGAACAATAAAATTTGGAGGAATAAAATGTTCAAACAATATTTTTTCATTCAGCTTAACATTACGAAAGAGTTGATTACTTCTATATTTATTTTACATTTGAACTTTTCTGATTTATGTGTAGGAAACGGGATTTTTTATTGTACTCATTTAGTACAAGTTATAAAATAATACGACATGAAGTAAAGATCGTTGTTAATTTTTTATGGTGATGCAACAGTATTTAATACTTGGCATACGAATATTATTCGTAAGGGGCTAACGGGTTCAGAGAGTCGTCCAAATCAGTCGACGTCAGTCAGATTTTTGGTGTATTGAAGTCAAATTATCCAGGGTCCGATAAATAATTTAATTGTACTTCATATTTTAATATTTATTTTTCTTATATGGCTCTGAACATTACAACTTGACGTATAACTCGTAACATAATGCAATATACACTAGCTTTGGATTAACGAATAAGTTGAGAAATTAATTTAGTTGGAAATTCGGGCCCGAACATTGGTTCTTCGTTCCTCGCGTATTTAATTCAATGCAATTTGCGTATCCAATAAAACGAAATTTAGCGCAATTAAATTCTTATTGTAACCGTGTACTCGTATTGTGGGTGGTATATTTTTAAGATTTTTGAATAATTTTATGTTGAAGTGCAACACGGACATAGAAATTAATAGTTTTCTAAAATTTTCACCAAGTGTTCTGTGAAACATGTAATAGGTATACTGATCAACTATATTATTTTTCTTTATCGAAATCATTCATTAATACGACTCAATATTATAAACAAAACCTTACGGGAAGATTTGTTTTATCTATTCGAAATACACACAATTTTATCATATATTTATGGGTATTTTTCGAAAAGCATAAGCATAAGCATAAGTGTCTAACATCGTAATTGGTTTAGACCGTTTAGGGTCAATGAACAATTCGTCTAATTACCCAAGATGTATCTCGGGTTCTTGAACAGCATTACGTTACCGTTGGTTTTTTGTTCTTCTTTACAAGTATCACTGTGTTCCACCCAAGGGGTAAAATTGTGATTTTCAATTTCCGACTGGTCGTCGGCCGAGTTGTTTCTGTAATCTCGTTTTACACGTACTGCAACACCTAAGACCGATAAGAATCACAAATTATTGATACGATAATCAAATACGATTTGTATATGTCGTTCGATTACCGTCAGCTTTAGCTACATTTTTGGCCGATGAATTTTCTCTAAAGCAATAACCGCTTGTCCGACGATCGATACCTTGAAAGATCGGTCTGAAGCACACACCACGTTTAGTCAAAACGCCTGCGAATTCAACAATAAAAAGCTAATGCGTTGCAAACACCGTATAACTGCCTCGGGTAAATTATTAAAAAATTGATTATTTAAAAAATCAACATTTTAGACGTATTTGTGTGTCGAGGCGATTGACCGCTGTCGATGAACAATATTTGAACGTTTTAAACAAATTTTTACGGTTACGCGGCAGAATACGTTTATTTATCGTATATCGTAATGTTGCCCGCTGCACAGGCATCCAGAATATAATATTTACCGGTGTCTTGGGTTGTTCGAACTGGCAAAAAGTCGAATATTAAAATAAACATAAGCATGTTGATGATGAACTCGATTGATTTGTTGTCATTGATATAATGATCTTTTCACACGGTTATAGATAGTTTTTGAACATCCTTACGAAACTTTGATTATTTTATGTTGTTAAATTAAGTTTAGGATAAACACAATACACACATGTATACCTATCATGTTTCCACACAAATAATGTAGCCAACACAGTTTTTATCATCAGTTCGGTATAAAAATTACGTTTCGACTGCAACGGTTTTAGTTTCAGGTACAGAGCGGGTATATTCCTAGGTATCATCTATAGGATATTTTTTTCTTTGGGAAAGAACATTGTACGACTGCGAACCAGGGCCAGCGCTACTTTTTGCGAGGCCCTGAACAAAACTTATTTTACTAATAACTATAGTCAACTGTAGACCTGTAGGCCGTAATTAAATACGATAACATGTAATCAGTAATCAGACTAGGTGACACAGCTGTTAATCTTCTAAACTCTAAATGCTGTGCGATGTCAAGTGTCGAGTGTTTGTATACCATTAATCAATTGTTTATTATTAAAATGCGTAGGTCCGAGCGCTAAATAATAATAATAATAATAATAATATGGTTTTACCGATAACTCGCCGAACGCCCACCGACGAAATAACTCGACGGTTCAACATAAAATAATATTAATTAATTATAGAGTTGATAAAGTTGTTGTTGATATCTTTCGACGATAAATCGATAATTTTTCCTAAAAACTAGTGCACACGCATTGGAAAAACTTTTGTTTGCGCCGTAAAAAAAAATTGCCGTCTGGGGGAGCTGCCCCCTAGCTACCCCCCGCTCTTCTTAACCCGTCACCGGTTCGATTCGTACGTAGACGACGACATTGCGAAACGTGACGATCGTCATCGCGCGTGTTCCTTGCACGCGCTGTATGCACACCCACACCCACACCCACACACACACACACACACACACACACACACACACACACACACACACACACGCACACACACGCACACACGCACACACACACGCACACACGCACACACGAACACACGCACACACACACGGGCGCGCGCACGCACGTACACACACGGGGCGCGAACACACATATGCATGTGCGTACAAAAATAACGACGCGCGTAAAACGCACACGAACGGACGTTCATGATGTTGCGTCGATCGGTTAGTAACAGCCGATCCGTCGGCCGTGTCGCGCGTGTCCGGCGAAATTTTGTCGGTGCTCATAGCGAAAACTGTTGCGACGACAGTTTTGCAACGATCGTTCGCGTTTTATCGTGTCGGCGGCGCGCGCTCGTTTTCCATTTTCTTCGTCGTCGGTTTTCTGCACGCTTGGCCGGGCGTCTTTCCGTTCGCATCGGCCGCACGGCCTCGCCACCGTCGCCGCGACCATGAACAGTGCTAAAAATACGAGTTTCGTCGACGCGGACGTCGACTTGCACCTGAAGATATCCAATTACGAGGAGACCGTCAAACACTTGGACATCTACTACGGCATAGGTCAGGCGAACGTAACGCGTTTAATAGTTTCAATCGTAAACCATTTTCGTAGTACCCCGTCCCAACCCCGCCACACTCATAGCTTTAACGTTGCCGAAAGAATAAAAAAATATATCAAATTGGGTATTACCAACATGATCCGTTCTAAGCGTACCTGCCGTATTTAAGATTTTGCCGCCCGGGTGCAACAAAATTTTACCGCCCCTCTTCCCTGAAGCGCGAAACCCAAAACAAGTGTTCGCGACACCATCATTCATTGGAAACACGCTCGTTACGCTCGCAGTTCGTTTTCCCCGTTTCATTTGGATATTTATAATCCAAAATAATAACCGAATTTTAATCGCCAAATTAGTTATAGAAAATTGTCTTTTATAAGACTGATTGGTGCTACCTTTCGGTCAGAATGTTCCATCCTCATACAAATCAAGTTTAAACCAATGTATTGTAAAATACTCTTAAATAGATATAAATTGTATACGTTACCAAATAATATAAATCGTTTTACAATAATTACATTTATGTTTCATATAATATTATTTATTGATAATTTATAAATAAGAATGTAAAATAATCAATTTTTTTTTATTTAGAATCATTGTAAACGTTTTGCCATCCCCTTATATATTTCAGGGGGTTATTGCCTCCTCGAAACACCCCTTAAATACGGCCCTTAGTACAGTATAATATGAGGTATTATTTTATTAATAAAAACTATAACTATACAGGTTTACTATATATTAATATATATATATTTAATACATTTTAATTTTAAATAATTTAAACATTTTTTTTAGCGATTTATATTATATTATATTAATTTTATCTCCACTCAAAATGGTGACCTAAAAATGTTACTCGTGTGATAATTATTGGTTATTACGAAATAATAATATAATAATCAGGATTTTTCGTAATTTGTTTTTAATAGTGCGCAAGAATGGTATTTTCAATTTTATCATGAGCTCAAACTGGTTGTGGTGTCTTGGATTAAAAATTAACGATCGTGAGCGAATAATTTGTAGCCGGCTTGGCAGCTGTAGAATCCTTTGTCTTAGGTGTTACGGTCTTAGCAGTGGGTCCAATGATAATATTTGAAAAATATGTAGAGAGCATGAAAATAAAACCGTTTTGTGATTATAATTATTAATGGAGATCGAATAATAATTGATTGATTTTGATTTTTACACATTATCGTACATCAACGTTTCTTTTAGCTGTCTGTATAATCGAAATTCAAAATACTTTGGTTACAATTTATTACAGGTACGGTTTCCCTGCAGAGTCCGGACACAGGGTGACATTTATTTTATTTACACATGGGTTCAAGTTAGTGTAGTTGCGGCATTAAGTCTTAGATCTTAGGCTGGGGCTATACACGGCATTTTCCGTTTCCTTTTCTACGATCGTCAAAATACATTTATTTCGATTACAAAGAATATATATGACCGTTGTAATACGTCGCGTTTTTTTGCGGACTAACGCCGAATTAATAAATACGCGACATTTTTAATTTTACATTATTTTAAATTAAAATAAGGTATACTAGTGCCGATAAACGCCGCGTTTACACCATAATTTTATGAATACAATAATTTTACATTGATATTAAATATTGTAGCTATTTAATTTGATTACCAACTCAATATAAATAAATAAGTACTTTTCGGTAATCGTATTCCAACGACTGGCGGTGGCGGCGGCGGCGGCCGGGAAATACCGATTCCGGTGTTGTACTCTATTTAAAGCGTAATAATGCATTTCAGCATATGTAGGTCAATCACAAATATAATTTTATTGACCTAGATGGGGGCACATACTCAAAATATTGAGCGTTTATGACAATCGGTTAAAGAACCAAATAAAAGACGTTCTGGAACCAATCAGTCAATGTCAGATTCATATATAAGTGAATTTCTTTGCCAAAACAAAAACATAAAAAAATATCTGTTTATTTACTTAAATTATAAGTGACTTCGTTAAATGCATACCTCTTTCATAAAAATATTTTTATTTTGTATTCATAAACATATTATGTTTTATCATTTTTTTGTATTCATATTTTATTCAAATAAATTATATTTTTGGTGATATATCTTACAGTTTATATAATATTATAATTAGTAATATATAATAGTTATAATATTATCATATAGCATTGAGTACGATAATTTAATCGGTATTTTCCGGTCGCCGCCGCCGATAGCCGAAAAATACCAATAAATATTTATTTTATCATTAGTTATCAATATTATTAAGCCGATCTCATACGACTCGTATAATCGGCGAATAATCGTAAATTTGTTTGCTTAACAAGTCGTGTAGTAGGTGTTTAATAAGGCATACTAAGGCGATTATTTTTATTCGCCAAGTCACTCTTCGTTGTCAGTAATTTTACTCGAGTCGAAAAAAATGAAAAATAATCGCGTTTATTTATTCAGTAATCGTTGAGTATCTCACACGATTTGTTCTTGCTTGCCATTTTGAACTGTCACATGGGCTCTTATGGACGTCGTATATTTCGTATATTTTTGCCATTTTAAGCATTCCAGTTGTGTAGAGTTCATTGGCGATGATAAATAAAGTATACACGATGATCGGATAATCAGCGAGTCAAAATACAATGCACATACCGCTGTTCTGATAAAGTCTGTGTGAAATACTTATATTAATGATTTTTGTGTAGTTTTTCATTTTCAAAACAATTAAATCAATTATATTCACAGTGCATATTATAGATGAACTAAATTATTACCTATCAAATAATAATAATAATTAAATCAAATAATTTTAAAATAGTATTTCTGTAAATGAGTATTTATTAATTATAAACTTATGATATTCGAATGCGATGAAAGTATTAAAAAATATTAATACATTATTATTATGAGATTTATCAGAGTTTTAAAATATTTTACAGATATAGACGGCGGAGTACGGTCAACCGATACGTCTCGTACTAACTTTATTATTTATTATATTATTATATTATTATAACTGTACTTTTTATTTTAACGATGCTATAAATTGTTTTTTTTATAAAACGATCAGTGATAAAATGTTTCCGGCCACTTTCTACTTACCTGTAATTATCTGCAAATTATTCTTATCGTAATGTAAATGTCGCTTGTATCGGGCTTCCGTCGCATGTACTATACCTACGTCAATATAATTACGTTGATTTAAACTAGTTTCGACCTTAGGCACCAAAGTTTATCGGACCTAGCCAAAGTGCGGTATTATCCTATAGTCTTATAAGTAATAGGTTCTACCGGAAGTTCATTCTACATAGTTCGTTATTAATAATATTTGGTTTCTACGAGTAAAATAGTATGTAGTATTAATCTTTGGCACTATATTGAATATATTTAAATATAATATGAAAAATAATTCAAATAAAAAGAAATTATGTTTTCAATTATCTTTACGCTAATTGTAAATTTACAGTGTGTCGTATGAAAACGATTATCACCTCCAGAACTTTTATTATGTATGATGTTATTTTGTTTTGTTTTGTTTTAAAAATCTAATCTATCAGAAGTTATAAAATAAAATCGAGTAGGGACCCACAGTTCTATCGGGTACTTTTACAGTAGATTAACAATTATAGTGAACTGTATAAAAGAAAAATATCGATTATATTACGTATTAAAAGAATTGAACATTACCACTACATATTACCACTGCTTATCACCAATTATGTTGACGCAGTAGAAAAATTAACGAAAAAGTTCACACTTAAAACCGTCACTACTACAACGCGGACATAGTCGATGGTAATAATTTTGATAAACGGTTGCATAATGATTCGAGATTATTTTAACGGTATTTTTTTTTACCTTACCGTAGAAAGACAGAGATTACTCCATTTGAAACGCTTCAAACTTTAATCTTATAACACTTTTTATGACATTCGTATTTTATGTACCTACATCATATTTTTTCTGGTAGTGAATGGGAGAAAAAAGTTTTAAATGTGAACTCGATGGTTCAAATTAAAATTGTTTATAGAAATTTATTATTAAATATTAATTATTAATATTTATTATTACAATTTGAATAGTCCGAAAAGAAAAATACTACAAAAAATGATTGACTTTTCCATTTTATGAACTTCTTAATAATAATAAAGTCATTATTTCCAATATACAATTATTTTCTCAAACATTTCTATAAATTTCAACATTCTTATTATCATGCATTAGATGTCATCAATTATTTGTAGCCTTATAATATGGGTTTAAAATTCTTAAGTTATATTCTTAAGTTTCTTTATAGTGAAAGATTAGAAATGATCTCACTCTTAAATTTCACATTGCATATTTTAGATTTTGTAATGTGTTTTTAAAAATAATTACTAGAGCATATATATTTATATAATCAATACATTATCTCTATGATACATTTCTATACTTTTTTAAGAATCAAAATCAGATTCATAGGTGTTATATTCGAAATTTTTTGTCCTTAGGATTTTCTGTAAAATTATAGATTTATTATATACCCATTCAATAAACTGATTGATAACTACATTATTATAACTAAGTTTGATAATTTTTTAGTCTAAAATTAATTTAATATTATTTTAAGCAGTCCCGTGTGCAGGAATTATCCAAAGGAGGGGTTCAAAATTATTTATGTTGTGTTAGGTAAAAAGTCAATAATTTCCATGGCACCGTCGATTTAAAACAAAAAAAAAAAAAAAAAAAAAACAAAAAAGGAAAAAGTACATGGGTAGACAAAATATATACGAATTTTAATTTAGGGTAACAGAATTTAAGTACCTAGTTGAAAATCTTTTTTCTGAGCACAGGGGACGTGTAAAATATGTATAAAAACCATTATTGATCAATGGAAATTCAGTCGCCATTATTTTATAAGCGAACCATCCATTTTTAGAATGATAAGAAAATTGTTCTAACTATAGTAATTTCACTAGATAAATTATATTTAAATTAAATTACGAGTGTTATAATTACTATTATATTGTTCAAACAAAATAC